TCGGAATCATCTCCAGGGCTTCGCTTTATGAATCAATGGAACATGCTGCAAACATTACACCCTGTAACACCCTTCCCAGGCAGCACCCTCACATTTGCCCATAACTCACTGCTGAGCTCATGCAAGATGCAAAAACGTGGGCTGAGACTCATGGGGAATGTACTGCGTGGTGAGAAAAGTTGTGAAAGAATGTTACTATCACTGTACTACTCTGATACATAAACAGCCAAGCATGTTTAGTTCCACATGGTTTAGAGGCAGAAAAGCAGAAAGAGCGGATGTTAGGGTGTTTCTCAATCAATTCTTGTTAAAGAAAAACTATGCTTTAAAAAATCTACTGTTTAAACTTTTTCAATCAGGTGTAAGAATGTTCTCGGTAAACCTCCGAGTTAAAGCTCAGAGAAGCACTAGTTCAGTAAAATCTCTTATGGCAGCAGAGATCGTGAAATCTTCCTCTGGGCGTTGATCAATCTTTTACAACATTGCTGCTTTAGCCTCGCTGTCATAACCTTTGGGCATATTGACTGACATTGATGTTCTTCAGTTAATCTGTCAATATGGCATCCTGTTGAACCACAACTGTGTTTCATAAATATGTTATTAGGTGCCAAAATTGAGTTTTTATCTTTTTTTTTAAAGAGAAGAGAACCTTATATGCGGAAAGGATTCAGTGGCTCAATCCAGGAAGGAAAAAAACTCATGTTTTCTTGCGGATAAGAAAGGAATAATTATATTGTCATATTCTTAAGACAGTAGCAATAAGGTTTCGTTTTGGCGTGCAGGTCGCTTTCTAGTGACGCTCACACTCTTTAGAAAGGAAGTTATTAGCCAGTCAGCCATTGGCTTACTTTACACTCTCTTAATCAAACAACTTCTAGGAGATGTTGGAGACAAAAGCCCTTTGACTTTCCCTCGTCTTATCAAATTCTGGACTTAAAAACTTCCATTTCACAGAGAGATTGCCAAACCAGACTATGACACCATGCTGAATAACTGATAGTGAGTCGCTGCTTGGGAGAAGATCATAATTCTGTTCTCATTTTGTCCAGAGTGTCTTAATCCACACAGAGAGAAAAGTCTCTCTCCCTTCTGATCAATCAGTCTACACATTTGACTTTATTTAGGATCTTCTACTTTCTTAAGTTACAAGTAAACAAACCACTACCAATATTTAAACACTGCTTGACTAACTTTTAAATCTTTGTCAAAGACTGTCATAACCTCCTTACTCGATGAAAGGACATTCAAAGAACTGGCTAGCAATGAATGGAAATAATGACTGAAATCCAAGATGAATTCATTGTAACATCTTTTCATATATCAAAGCACAATTTATAGCATAGCAAAAGAAAGAAATTCAAAACTCCTTGACACAGCTGAAGCTGACATTTTCCCAGAACTAAAGCAGTACACACAACTTATGTGACACTGTTGTTCTGAAGATTTACTCAAATCAAAGTCTCTAGACAAGTTACCAAAAGAAGCAAATCGTGTCAAATACACTTTTTGGTCAATTTCATTATTAATGTGTTTTTCTAAAAGTTTTACAAAATCAATTAGTCGTCTCGGTCAGAATTTGAATGGAGAGAAAATATTACTGGCCTTTCCAAGTCATAAAGATGTCTCCTGTGCTGCATCTCTGCTGTCCAACAGAGGAAAAAGTCATGCAAACAGCCCTTTCCTCTTCCAATAAACAACATAACAAATACACCACATGCCATAGTTTGATTAGTCAAAGTGGAATTTACCAAATGCACTTCAAGCGTTTCTTTCTGGAAACTCGAGCAATAAAATGCACGAGCTACTGGGCTCTGTCGTTAAGTCCTGGACACAGCTGAGGCTCAAAGTGGAGCTGTAATATTCGGTTGTTTCTCATAACAGACAGATTATCGCCGCAGCCTGACGTCTACAAATGCTGCTGGGGGAAATCACAGGAAACTAAGTCACTGTGAAGAAATTCATCATCGGTGCCAACGCCAAGTCAACACAAAAAGTGTGTATAATTACGTGTGTGAGGGTTTCGGCGTGATGCACTTATGTGCTCGTGAATGTGTTGAGCGTGTGCGTGCGTGCACAGCTCCTGTTTCTACTAGTTATGGATGCTTTCAGTTTTGTGTGCTTGCAGACAGGTGTGTATTCTGCATGCTTACTTATTGTATGTACAGGTTTATAGTGAAGCGGCCTGGATGATGTTTGCTGATTTAACAGAACAACAAAGAATTAGACATGTAAAACCTCTGACAATGATTGACTCCATGAGTCAGGGTTAAATGGACAGACAGAGGCTCTACATTTATCTGAGACATCGAGTTTGGGACTCCAGCACGCTACTCTAACTAAAACATTTTCCTTAAATAAGCCCACAGACGGAGCACCTTCGTCCCGGGCCAGGAGAAACTTTAGTTAGGTATCAAATGATGCTAGAGTACACACTTCATTCAAACACGATATTCTTTTTCAAGAGGGGTCAAGCGTTTTCTAAGCAAGCACAATATTTTCTTTGCTGGTGGGCACCAATATTTATAGCACAGAGGACTCGTAGTCAGACAGGACGATTCGCCGCCGTTAAACATTTGAAAAGCAACACACTGTTCCCCAACCTTTACACCAGGTCTCTGCAATTATGTGCTTCATTAAACTTGTTAAACTACGCAATAATCTTCTTTGGATTCATGCCGGATACATGTCTTCAAATGCAATAGTAACAAATGTAAAGTTAACTTTTTTATTTTTGGTCACTAATCCTTCAAGATGTTTTTTTTTTATTCAGCTTTATAAATCACATTCAAGGTGTGTCATTCAATGTCAATCTCTCTCACTCTCTCTCTCTCTCACTCTCTCTCTCTCTCTCTCTCTCCCTCGCTCTCACGTTTGCTAAATGTTATATGTAGTTTTTTTTATTTTATTTGATAAAGTCAGGCCTTTTGGACTTTAATATAATTTTCAGCCAAATGATGTTCTTATTGTTGTGATTTTAACTCTGTAAAACACTTCAGATGACTATATGCATGAATGGAGCTTTATAAATAAACTCGTCTGTCTTGTAAACTTAACACATTGAAGATAACACTCTGACTGATGTGGTCAATAGCTCAATACAGCGTAGATTTGCATTTCATAAAACCAGCAGAGCAGTATTGAATGCAAGTGTGTCAGAGTGCACTACCAGATACTTTATCTTCCTTACTGAAAAAAATAAATTCCTACAAGGAGGATTAGATGAAACCTCAGAGATCCTCTGTATTTAATCACTGAGTAATCGCTCATATTTTGCTCTCACAGGCTACATGTGAAAGGTCACAAATCTCCCATGTTAGGTAAGTTCTTCCACTGCTGTCTCACTTCCATCAGGATGAATATTACAGTCTGTGACTGTTCAGAGATTCATTTCAGTATAGATCTTAAGTAATGATAGAGAATGCAGTTTAAACCCCGGCTCTGTCCCCAAATGGGAGTAGGTAATCCGATCAGCCTGAAATGAGGCATGATACAAAAGACTGATGAGTACTGAGCTCACTTTCATACTCCATGCTCACCACAAGAGACGATAAAACAGCACCAATGTCTGACACACAGTCAACGTTTTTATAGCAGCATCAGTTGAACTGTTTAAGACGTTTCATTGCTTTGACATTATTTTAAATATGTGTGAAAATGAATTCTGTCTTGTTAAATCAGTGTTTCTTTAAAGTAGTTTGTTGCACTCCAAAAGGAGGCTGAAAACTATTTAGATTCATACAAACCACAAAATATTGAAATAATTAAAAATCCCACAACTGCCCCACAGACTCAGAGCAACAAAAAAAAACAGATATGTATGTGTCTGCATCAATGTCAATCTGCACAAAATAATCCCCAAACACATAACACATCTTGTATTCCCACAATTTACGGGAAGTGAGTTCAAAAGCATCGCAAAGACAATGAGTCGATTCATTCTGCTTCGGGATGTTGGGGATGGAGGGCTGAGGGCAATACTGTGCTCTAAGAGAACTCGTAAAATGCTGAGACGCATTCGGCAGACATATGGTTTGTGTTTAGCAAGAAGAAACAACAATCAAAACTGTTGATCCCCTTCTTGCTGGAAGGATGATTGCTAATATAAAAGTCTGTTCCGTCTAATCATAATTTAGGATAGGGCTGTAATTACCTCCGCCCTCTCACAACAACTCTAAACAGGATGGAGGAGGCTTCCACAAAGACCCAAAGCCCAGTTTCCATGCTGGATCATATCATATCATAATCATGACTGTTTTTATTTCATCCATGTAATTATTTGAAAGTTTTTGCTTTTACTGATAAGCCTATCTCAAAGGGTTTTGGCACTAAAGGAGATTTAGGGAAATTTGTATTTGGAAAAATGTAAGGAGTAAATAATTATTGATTTATTTATGTTTAAAAATTTGAGGGGAAATCAATCAATAAATTATTATTCCTTGAAATATTTCTTTCACCTAAAGCTGTCAAGTTAGCCTACAAGCTGAGTGAGCAAAAATTGCACTACTTTTCCTGTGATCTAAACGCTGCCATGCCTTTTTACCATCCATAGGAAATGCACACTTGCTTGGCAGATATCACACATACTGTTCATGACTTCACGCGGCCTTCATGTGTAACAGAGACTTTGATTCTGGTGTAATTTATGAGTTGGCAATAAATCCGAGACAGATCTGGGTTTAATCAGCAGACCTAATCCATAATTGCAAGCAGGACTCTCAATAGAAATACTTAATACAGCTGCACCAAAGTTATGCTCATCTAGAGCCAAGAAGAATCAGCATTATTTTTAAACGACAGATATTATGAATCTGCTTGCTGGTCAAAATCAAGACTGACACAGCTCGACTTAATATCACAATTAGTTGTTTAAATAAGAGAAATAATCACTAACAGGTTGGATGTAAACCCAATTTAAACTGTGTTTAAAAATCACTACTAATTGTGTGTTAATTGAAGATTAGGCTACTGCTCGTACTTACACGGGGACCTACGGGGCTTACCTTGCACGGGTGGGAGCGTTAGGCACGAGCGCGAAGCTTTGTTGGACACATGCGCTTTTTCCTTCGGGCTCGCGCAGTTCATGTGAGCCGGAGTGTCAGGGGAGCTCCGGCAAATCTGTGGCGTACAAATCTGTGCTCCAAAACCAGCGCTCCCGACGCGACGCGTGCAAACGTCCGCTTTGCTGCCGTACATGGAGAGAGACAGGCCGGTGAAGTCTGTGAAAGTTGGGGTCTGACAGTGGCTCACCATCCCGAACAGCGCTGAGGAGTTCTGCATTGATGACTCAACTTCCCATGTAGTGTGGTGTCGCTGCTCACATTACCTGCGCACATGGGGAAAAAAAAAGTACTACAATCACCAAACATCTGCGAGCATCAGTGCGTGGACAAACACACGTGTATTAATGTGACCAACAGAAGAAATGCCACATAAGACAACGCGATAAATTAAAAAAAAAAGAGAGAAGTGGTAACACCTACCTTATCCAGCAAGCCAATAAGGAGAAGGAGAAGCCTTATTGTGCCTATCAGCATTTTTTTTTATCACACTAGAGGTTTAAAAACCTGCAAGCCAGATCGATAGCATCCTCTCAGTGAGGATCAGTCATCAGCATCCCGCGTCTCTCTCCCTCTCTCTCTCTCTCTCTCTCTCTCTCTCTCTCTCTCTCTCTCTCTCTCTCTCTCTCTCTCTGATTGACACCCGATAGCTCTGCGGGAATCAGTGCAGCGTCCTTGTTTCTGTAGTAGGATAAGCTCTGGATGGAGACGGCTGTGATTGTAGTTCAGAGCTTTAGGATGTGAAGTTTGTGAGCGTACTGATAAAAAAAAAAAGGCTCAGGCTTTCGTGACATATTGCCAACAAGATCGAGACAATATCGCTCAAATTCCAAGTAATTGTATTGTGTTTTTCCAAGACTGTGTATGTATTTGTCACTATTATATGTATCTGTTTAATCTCAGATAGATAGATGTGGGAATGAGACACACACAGATTGGCTAAGTACAAATGCGATGGGATCTTTCATACAGGCCTTGCACGGGTTTCTTCACATTTGGAAACCTAAACGACTGAATATTTTCCCACACTTATCCATCCGCGAAAACTTTAAATTTAGAATTGAACAAGAAAACACAAAGTAAGTTAAAGCCTGTGGTACGGAGAGCTGATGTTCACCTACAGTTGATCACCATTTTGGAATCATGCAGGATAGTTTATTGTGTATGCTACTGCCATCTAGTGGACTCTGTGTGGAAGGGAAATTCATAACTACTAACACTTGTAATGTGCCATACAAGGCGAGTCACACAAACTGGGAGTAAAAGGTGTTTCGTATCAGGTAGCTACTGTGTGGTTGGGTGAGTCCGGATTCCTGCGCGAACAATTTCAGGTATCGCTTCAGGTATGCTGCATTCATCGACCGTGGAAAACTCAAGCCAGGTGAATTGACAATAGGACCAGAGTGAATATCACTGTTTCAAAGTACCCTTATTGTCTGAACCTAAAGCAGATTATTTTCAGATATTATACGATAATTTTTGGAAATAAGTGGACATAGAATAATTTTCATTGTGGTCACTTATCTGTTTTCTGAGCTTAAAATTGGTTTGGCAAACCAGACATCCATCACAGTTTGTGACCATGGTGAATTAGATGCGACCGACCTAAAATACAATACATGTTTACATGTCAGAACAGGCATTAATGTTGAATTATTGTTTTCTATAGTAATTTTGGTTACGCATTAGAAAGAAAGTAAAGCAGAGCAGGTTGTTAAGATTGTAGTTAAAATAAAATTGGCTGCCTGCCAACTTTGTCAGGCAGCCGGTTAATCGACATTTGACTTACATTGTACACATGGTGTGGAGCTGTCTTCTTGAAGATGACTTGTGTTCTGGTTCATGCAAAAATCAAATTGCATAAAGATGCAACCCATTGCTTCAGTCATATAATGACGAAATACATATTTTGACTTAAAAAGATTATTTTTTTTTATTACATGCACCAAATACACACTTGTGAGTAAGCCCAACTGTGCTGATAAATATATTTAATTATTGTAGAATTTAAGGAATCGGTCAAATGTGTCTTTGGTTAGAGAGACCTTGAAGACGTCGCTTTTACAACAATGTTTTGAGGTGTGAGGATTTGGTAAAGAGCACCACACGGAATTATAAGGATCACAGAGGGAGAGGATCCATTTGTCTAGTGCTCCACCAAAGTTTTGGAGCTACACGGAGTCTATAAAGTACGACTTCAGAAAGAGACCATGAAGGCATCTTTCATCGAACTTTAGCCGAGTGGGCTGGGCGTCCACGCAACGCGACTCGTTAAACACTCGCATGACAACTAAGCAAGAAACACTTGGAAACCGAGCCACTGTCACTGAGGGTGACATGTTTCTGCAAAAACTGATCGTGTATTTGTCGACAGCATGGCTGTTCTGCTTTTTGATTGGAGTGAACGTCCTAGTTAAGATCGTAGGTTTCATCTCGCCGAGCCTCTCAAAGAAGATAATCCTTAAAATGGGCGAAAAGACCACGATGACCCAGAACCCCAAGTTTAAGTATGAAGACTGGGGTCAGACGTTCTGCTCGCTGGAGTTCGTTAAAACAGCCTCTCTGCACATGTGGTTGTCGCTTGGACAAGAAGCATTTGAGGGAGGAAAAGCTCCGGACTCACCTGTGGTCACCATGGAGGGAGAGAAGACAAGTGTCTGCAAGTTCTTGAAAGGTGCATTACGATTTCAACGATGTACTGTGATAAAAAAATAAAAACAAACCTTATCTCTCTACTCCTACACCTACAAGTTGTTGTTGTTGTTGTTTAATCTCTGCAGGTAACAGGCCACTGGTGCTCAGTTTCGGGAGTTGCACCTGACCCCCGTTTATCTACAAACTTGAGGAGTTCAAGCAACTCGTCAAGGACTTCAGCGATGTGGCTGACTTTCTTGTGATTTACATCGCAGAGGCCCATTCAACTGGTGAGTTGTACAACGTGAAGCCATGAAATGCATTGATGGAGGGGACCTTATTTTTCCATAATCTGTAAGAGGAAAGGTCAAAGTAACATTAGGTAACGTGATTGGACATAATGTGTTCATTAAAATGACTTTGAAATAATTGTCTCTCCCTGGAATATGCATAGTAAGTCAATGTAGTGTTTCACAAGTTGATTTTTATTATTCAGGTCATGGCATTGTTCCCAGTTTTTCTTGTACCAACAGCTGAGGGCAAGGGGTGTGGGTGGGAGAGAGTGGGCGAGCTGTCTGTATGTTTGTTATGTAATGTGTTTATTTTTGTCTCTGCCTGCTTTATTTGTATTTGTGTCTAAAGTCCCCATCAAAATGAGATGCTACTTCTCAGGAGGCTATCATTTTTTTTAAAAATAAAATCCTGTTTTCACTGGGTCATCTTGTGATTTAGGTTTTTATGAGTGGCCTCTACCACCTTGCTTGGCGTGCAGCAGTGTATGAATTCAATCTTTTGTAATATAACAACAGTTAAACCAGAGATGAATAATAACTGGTCCTGAGGTCTTTTCAGACTTACCAGTTTGCCTTGAAATTGAGTTTAATGTTCACCCTAATAAAAGGGCTATAACATCTCATGTACTTATGTAACAACCATAAAACAGTTGTTTTTTTTTTTGACTTTGATGCTGCTTTCAAAGTCGATCCAGTAAAAACTGATTATCTCTTTTTCAGATGGTTGGGCCTTTACTAACAACTATGACATTAATCAGCACCAGAGCCTGGAGGACAGGCTGTCTGCAGCCCGGATCCTTGTTCAGAAGGAGCCCTTGTGTCCTGTGGTTGTGGATGAAATGGATGATACTGCTGCTATGAAGTATGGTGCTATGCCCGAGAGGCTTTACGTATTGCAGGCTGGGAAAGTAGTGTATAAGGTGAGACTTTGAACTGGTTGCACCAAGACCGGTTCCTGTTTTGATTAAACATTGTGTGATCCTGATTTCTCCTTGCATGCAATTGCGTGACTAGAGGTGGCACCCGCACTGTGTTTGTTGCTACACTATCTCTTCTGATGCTATCGTGTTAAGGAGGCGAGGTCACAGAAACAGTCACAACACTTTGAATTCTTGGCACACGGCCAGGTTAATGCTAGCCGTGCCATAAATATAGACTAGCACATATGACACGGCAGAAACATGCCTCTGATGTTCTCTGTTTGTTTGTTCTTCCTGATATCTAACGAAGGTGGATTAACCTTGCCTTACTTTGTGATTTCTAGGGTGATGTGGGGCCTTGGGGATACAATCCAACGGAGGTGCGATCATTTCTGGAAAAGATGAAGTAAGAATTCAAGTCCAGCCATGTGTTTTCCATCCGACTGTTCTTATTAAGAGAGGTCTCTGAGTTCAGGAGGGAATGGGAGCGTCAGACCAACATCACTCGTATAACAGAAAACCACACTGCTTTTTGTGTTTTTCCGAGACTTAAATGAATCCACTGTCACATTTATATGTAGTTCTCTAGCTGCTCGCTTTCATTTCCGACATCAACAGCTGCATGAGTTGCATATTACAGACCATCCAAACATGCACTAATATTCAAACTCTCCTTTACAACGAAAACCCATCTTAACTGACAATCTCTGAGCTGGAGCTCAGCTCTCTGTGTTTCTTAGTGACGGCTACAGTTCAAACCGTTGGCCTCTGTAGCCCGATGAAGTGAAACACATAGACAGTGCAGTCAAGAGCTTATCTTTTGAGTTATCACAAAATATACACGAGACAGCTGTTTCTACAGTTTAAAAGATTTAACCCAATAAAAGTCTTTTCTCTGACAGGTTCAAATTATCATTCACATTGTGAAGCGTATTAAACACTGCAGTTTTCAGTTATCTACGAATGCTCCATGGTCATTTTGCTGGAGGTTACTTTTTACATGAAGATTGCAGTGCAAACCTTCGGGCAACTGTGATCTGATGAAATTCGAAAAGTAGACTTTCTCTTGATTATGTTGGAGCATTTGTGAATTTACAGAACTACTAAGCATCTTTCTAAACAGTTTTTGAATGCTCTTGTATACAAAGAAGTCTGCTTCATTCTGTAATAAAAAAATAACCTGGAGACTCTTGCATCTGTTACTTAGTTTGCAACATGCACCTATCAGCCATAACAGGATTACCTATGTTATCTAATACAATACAATACAAAACTTTTACTTAAATTCTACTTTTACAAAGCTTCTGCATTCTCAGCTTTTGTTGACATGGCCAGAAAGGTGATTATTTTACTTTATATTTATTATTGAAGCCGTAGTGGTTGGGGGTACTGGTGTTCTAGAGTATTTTGCCTACTCCATTAACATCAACAGAGGGGTTTCTTGTCAACAGGCAAGGCAGGCAACTGCTTGGGGCCCCAGGCCAGTAAGAAAAATGGTGTGCTATGATTTGCAGTGAGTCTGTAGTTGCAGTGACTCCTCCTACCTCTCTTTGTTCTAGTATAACAAAATAAGATTGTCTTCAATGCTAAACTAGTGTTCTTTTTCACATTCTGTTTCTCCATAGAAAAGGCTGCAGGGACTCATTGTTGACATATACAGCCTTTTTTTAACCTCCATCAGAGGATCCGGCTGCCATTTGCTGTCTTGTCTGGAAGTGGTAAACATACTGTATAAGGGTCATGCCGGTTTTAACCAATCCAAACATACATGTGTGTTGTGGATTGTGGCATGAAATCCCTGATGTGAGTTACTGTTTAACTGTTTAATCTCTGCACATCGATTGATTTAGTCTTCCATTAAATTGCTGAAAATGTTTTTCCTCTCTGTTGTTGTAATAGCTCCATAAGGTTACATAACCATTCAAATCAAACGGAGTGTGTTTGCTTTTCAAATCATGTTTTATCGATGGAAGTCTGTATACTTTGGGAATTGGCATAAAGGGGATTGCATCTATTTTGATATTTAAAAAAAATTGCAAAGGTGCAATTGTACTTTTTCCTGACAGTAAGAATAGCTGTGAAAAAATGTTTTTATCTATTTTCTTTTATCTTCTTCACACAACTCTACATCACAAACCGGCTGAAAGCATTTGGGTGCATTTTAATCTGTTCCAAATATTTTATTGTTTCATGCAATAAAATGACAGTATAGGCTTTTTATGCCTTGACTTGATTGGTGTTTAAGTGTATGGTGTATAATTGGTGTTTAAGTTATGTCTTTACATATAAAGCATAGAGGCTAACGAAATAAGACCTTTGGGATCATAACTCATAATAACAAAGCTGCCTCTAGGATCTGGTAGTGAACAAATCCTACTTCTAGGATTTGGTAAAGAACAAAGCTGTGTTTGTGTAGCTGCGGCTTTCATAACATTAGCTGTGTTGCTCTGAAGTTGGAAAGCAGGCTTGGCTCCTGCCCAGCCATGCAGGCCACATCCTGTGGAGGGCAGCCAACAGCAGCTCAGCCTCGTTTCCTATTGTTAGACAGGAACCAGAAGACTGTCCGATCTTTCCCCAGCCGAGAAGCTTTGTTCATGTTCACATCTGAATCTTAAAGTAAAACTGAAGAACACTTGTTTAATATTGCTTTCAGGAAGTGTTAATTAGTTCAGTCCAGAGGGTCTGTGCAAACCAAGAGATCCACTAATCTCCACCAGAGGGCGATGTGAAGACATTTTATCCCACTAACCTAGGAGCAGTAGACCTGAAAAACATGATGCATTTTTCTATGGGATCCAATATTAAGAGTGACCTATCTAGCTTAAGTTTTAATATCTTTAGAAACAACGGTTTGTCTGGGGCAGGAAATCAAACTTTCTATAATGCAACTAACCTCAGCTGCCTTAGCTATGGACCAATCCAGATGGCAGACCCCTTTCCACATGGAGAAGCAGCCTTAAGCACAGCAGGAGTTCCCACATGTTGTTCATGTAGTGTAAAGATTAAGGCTAGACAAGCTGTCATGTTTTTTCTAAGGATGTTTTAGTGAATAAAAATTGCACAAAAATGTATATTAGGAAAAGGACGTCTGAATTGTTTCGAAAAGATTAGTTTTACCCTTCAAACCTCTCAGAACGGGCCTTTTGAATAATATAGTCCCCTAAATTTAAACTTACCAACATTTCATACACAAAAAATAAATATATATATATATATATATATATATCCCTTGAACCCAATGACCTCTTAGCTCTGAGTTGGGATTAATTTGTGTACACAATTGAAACACAGAGTCCCTTGTCCTTTCTCCTGTCCAGCAGGTCAAGCTGACCGGCAAAGGGGTTCTCTAACAAAAAGCCCACCCCCCCCTGCTGGATTTCCTGTTGTTGGTGTTTGTCTGTGGACCACAACACCCCCTGGGATCAGTGATGTTATGATGCAGGTGCATTCTAAATGTTGTGTTGAGCTCATGGTCTATCAATGTGCTGGCAGTGAACATCGGTTAGCGAGATCATCTAAAAACCTGATCGAAAATAAAACACCACACACACGACAGGTAGTTAAGTTATTGTAAAATTATATTAACAAGCAATCTTTCCTCAATTTGAAATAAAAAAATATCAGCAAATAAAGGCAACATAGGACAGATGTGTGTAATGCATAATGTTCACAGGAAAAAAAAAATTCTCATCACATTAAAAACCTGCGACTAAGTTGATAATGATGCCTACTAGAATGGGTTTAGAAAGCTTTGACTAACTCTGAATAACTGGGGCAATATATGTAGTCAAAGATCGTATCAAAATATTTAAAAAAATAATAAGTTTGGGTTGGGCGAGAAGGGGCAGGGCCAAGGGGGACGACCGAGAATACAGGAGGGAGAATGTGAACAACCAATATGCAGGAGAGGTTAAAATGGGCAGCTCGTTCATAGCCGTTTCATCATTATGAACCCAAGTGGAAATGACACAGAAGGCTACGGCGATGAAGAGCACAGAGTGTTAAGCACAGACAGGTAAAGAGATACACACCACATATTAAAGCAGGTGTCCACATAGAGAAGAGCAGCACTAGGTAGTATGTTGTACACAGAGTCTCAGCTTTCATGCACTCACTTCGTATGGTGTCCCTTAACAGAATTCAGCAGCGATCGAGCCGTTTTGAATTCAAACAGCAAAGAGCGCCGACTTGCTGTCAAAAATAGTAGAGGGAAAGTGATCAAACAGGATTCGACATGGTCGCCACAGTAAAACCTTATTCTTAAGTCTTTTCCCCTTATAGACCGTTTTAAATAGAAGGGTGAGCATTGGGAAGAACAGTAAGGTACATTATTCATAAAGGTGGCCACAGAGTTAAAGGCAAAAATCGGAGTCCTATGTCAGCTGAATTTGGCGACACAGTATGCATGGCGAGAAGTAAAATGACAGGACAAAGACTTTCCAAGCTCACAATGCATATACACACTCTCCAGTGTTTCAAGTGACAAAAGCGGAGACAAATCCTGCACATCTTGCAACACAAAGCAATAATTAAAAAGTACAAGAGGTAAACTTCAACCATTTTTTTTTTCTCTTCGCTCTAGGGTTGAGGGGGCTGAGAGGGTTAAGGGGGCTCTGCAAAGAACATAAACATGTCTTGTATGCATTTTCAGTAGCTGGTTTTTGTCACACTTGGGGTTGTGATAAATGGAGAAAATTGTCCTTCATTTTGAGCGAGGAGCAGTAGTTTGCCAGCCATTTCCGTTTTCCTCCCATCAGCATTCTGGCGTTAGAGTGGAACCAAAATGGCGCCGGTCCCTGATTCGGTGCTGATGTGTTTGGCCGTGTCCTGGAGTGAGTTTAGATCTTCGGAACGATGGCAAATCATTTCAGGTGGTGTGGAGGGGGGGGGGGGGGGGGTCACACACTCATCGTCATAGTTGGAGAGTACTATAGGGGCACAGAGAAGAGAGAATTAACACACTAAAAAAAACAACTGATAAGCTAGAGTACAAATACAGTCACAGACAGTCCAGTGATGGTAGCGGAGGAAGAAAGCATCCTCACGTTCTCGCTCTGAAAGGAGTGGAGGAAGTTTCCACTCAACTCCCCGTCATCCCTCGGGGTCCCAGGAGGATTGCTAATGCCACTTAAATTGTTTGGAGAATTCTGGAAACAGAGTGAAAGAAGTTTTTTTTTTTAAAGCTTTTCTTTATCCAGCATCAGCCTCTTAATGCAACGACTCTCAGTGTGGTTACAATATTTACCTTGTTCATTCCATCCATATCCCCCGAGCCTAAGAATGAAACAAAAATAAAAATAATTACACTGTTTATATTCTACCATCAGAAATACATTTTTAAAAGTGGTTCTGCAGTAAATCATTTAAATTGTCTTGAAATAAAGTGCGTCATGACAGAGTACAAACATTTTCTATTAAATCCTTCATTTCTTTACGATGGAATCCAAACATATCTGCAATGTACGAGTAGGTGTTTTGAAGTGTGTGGTGTTACCTAGTGACCCATTCATGTGGTGTGGCTCCATCCCAGCCATGGCTCCCAGGGGTCCATCAGAGCCGGGGCCCATCGGGAACTGCAGAGGAAACAAGACAACATGGACTCACAAACGCGCATGTTTACATAGTTTGTGATTAACTGAGAGCTCTCCATACACCAAGGAGGATTAACAAGTGCAAAGTAAGAATGACCAAATACAACTCGGACATTAGTTACAATAATGTGAACACATTTATCACAGCTACTCTGAAGTTCAGGGAAAAGCAAAGCAAAAATCCTCTTTCGGATAATTAAATCTGTAAGACAGCGACAGAAAGAGCAGCATGCAGTATCAAATAACACACACAGGGAATCTGAGTAAGAAGTGTATTTGATTTGTTTCTATAGAAATATCATCCGTGCATACCTGGACATAGAGATAGACTCTCAGGGACACTGTTAACGTGCTTCAGTGGAGTCAGGCTCTGGCATGGAGTATTTTTATTATTTATATAAATAATCAATTCAATGTTTTGTGCCCTTACAAATCAACACAGGTTAATGTTTGTGTTAATCCATCTAAAAAGACACTGGATCTTCTAGCTATGATTCATCTGTGATAGAGAAACATTAAATCATTCAATGTAAGCAGTTGGGTTCTATGAGACGTTGAGTAAAGTTTGATATGAGAAGTTTTCAGTCATCTTTACGTATATTGTTCTGCCTTAATCCATCAAAGTTTACTAGTTTAGTGAGACAACAGAGATGGTTGGCAAGTGTTTTTATATTTCACAATGACGACATACATTTCAGATAAGACTTATTTCTTAAAACTAGGATCTACTCATTTTCCCAGCCACGTGGCCGTAATGATGAAATTTGAAAGAGTTTTGACTAGTTTCAAGCAGTCATTAAACATGAGAATCTGTTGTGATGATAGAGAGGCCACATGCTTTATTAAGTTATACAAGCTTTTTATTAAAACCAGTGGACTGACCCTGATTACAGTGACCCCAACTGAGAAGCGTACGTGCCTTGTTAAAGGAGATACTAACACTAAGTGCATGATGGGAGTTAACTTACATTGTTTCTGTTGCCGGGTCCAGTGTTGATCATGGTGTACAAATTGTCCCCAGAGTTGTTTGAGTCTGAAAAAGGTAAAAGGATACATATTATTGGCGCTGGAAAGTGCATGTGAAGGGTAATGAATGACTAAAAGCTTTATTAGGGGGAGGTAATGACCTGCAGGGCTGGGCATGATGGGAGTTCCTGGGGGTCCCCCGCCACCAGAAGCACCCTATAGAGGACACAGAAATACTGCCATGTAAACACCAACTTCAAACTGATTGTGTCTATTCCCTGTTATAAAATGTATTTGGTGTGAGTCAAATTGAATGCCTGGTTGTTTCCTTACCCCGTATGCACCGGGAGATGGTGATGAGTAAGGCATCTGAAACAAAAAAAACACAAAAACCTTAAAGTCCACAAATGGGTGAGTGCAAACCCTTTCTATACCCCAAAATGTCATCATTCATCATTTGATCATCCTAATACCATTATGGTCGACTGTCCAATGGTCTGTGAAGACTGTGACACATAATACTACAATTACATCTCAGACTAGAACCCTGGAAATACATTAGACCAGCTCGGAGAGAAAATCTGCCTGCAATCTGAACCAGCATTTTTCTTGGTGTGTGTGTGTTTGAGTGAGTTTGCGTGTACTCACAGAGTTGGCGTTGTTAGGATTTGGCCATGGTCGACCAGTTCCTGGGCCCCTAAAAGGTAAGACCAATAGAAATTACAATAGACAATGCATAACTGTTGAAAGGCTTGTATATAATTCGATATTCAAATTGAAAAAAGAGCTCACATGTTCACTCCTGGCATACCAGGGCCCATGGTGTTGTGTGGAGGTCTCATCCCACCACCAAAGTTCTGAGAAGAAAAAAATAACATAAAAAATTATAATAATATAAAATCACAATATTGTGGGTGAAATTTGATTTTAAGTTAATAAGGGGTGCTCATAAATTGTCACTGATATTCAGTGTCTTCAACTTTTAAAAAAATTGAGGCTCTGCCGTTGTAGGCAGTTGTAAATAATTTTCATTGAGTAGAAAAACTTACCTGAGGTCCTGGTCCCATGGGTCCCATGCCTCGAGGGCCGCTCATTCTCTGCATCGGACCCAAGTTAGGATGGCCTGGAGAGGGTGAAGGAAGCTTACATTATGCAAGAAGCAGGATAATCATTTATCTAATGCTACAAGTGAAGGCCAAGGTGTACATCAGGGGTGTTCCGAAAGGCTCATTTCCCTAGTTGATAAAACAAAATATTAAATGTTTTCTAAAACATTTAGAAAACAGCCAAAATTGAACACAATTGATTTAAGGATAGGGGAAGCATATCTTGAGTAGTAATTGTCCTGATGACAGCATTGTGGGCCAACATATAAATATATCAATATATTTAAATTATGAGTAATTCTGGTGCCAACTAGTCAAGATGACAGCATCTAATCGTCTAGTCCACTAATCCCCCACCCACCTAGTCTAAATCAAGTGAATTGTGGCGTTGATTCACACCTTGTGGTCGTGTCGGGTCCATGTTGGGTAGCATGGGATGAGGGCCAGGTCCTCCGCCTGGAGGCTGCCAGGGATAAAGCACAAACATCAAATGAAACCTCCGTTTTAAATAATTGAAGTTTCAATGTGTATTCTGAATCCATGGTGTGTGAATAAAGTCTACCTGGTTAGACATCCTGATAGGGGGACCTCTTGGACCTCCAGCAAAACGAGGCGACATGAAGGACTGCAACACAAACATTATGCAATACATTTTCAATATAGTTGAGACATACGTGTATCAAAATGAATTCTGATTACACTAAAGCATCTTTCTATGTTTACTGAAAGCAGCATAAAAGCATTTAGCAGAGAGGAATGCCAAAGCGTGACGCATCAGCGCTGAGAACCAGAGTTCCCTTATGACGCCAAAAACAGAGAAAAAAAGAGGGAGAGGGAGCGTTACCTGGCTGTGAGGTCCCATCATATTGTTAGGGGGAGGAGGCTGGGGGTGAGGAGAGCCCTGGGGACCAGGAGGACCCTGTGGCATTGCATGAAATAGAGAGGCAAGGAGGAGGGTGAGAGAGAGGATAAGACAAAATTAGAAAGGAGAGAAACAGAAGTGACAAAAGAGAGGCAGACAGAAGCAGGGTTACTGCAGGGCAGAGGGCAGTAGGAGGTGCAAGAAACTAAAGTGGGGGCGCAAAAAATGTACAAAAATAAGATCACAGAGCAAGAAGAGCAAGCAAATGACTTAGCATAGATGCGGTGGTGGGGGTGGAAGACACAGACAAACTGGAGGATGTGTGCTCTTTTGCCTGTCAGTCAAGTCATTAAGAAGCCCGCTACATGCAGCATGTTATCAGTGCTAATTTCCCTGAATTAACAGCATCAATTAAGCTCTATGCAATTAGCAGTATAACAACACTAAACACCAGCACTGTGTAGCTAATGTTGCTGATCTCACAGAGAGAGAGAGAGGAGTCTAATTGAGCCTCCTCCAATGGATTCTGGTATGGAAAGTATGAGTGTGTGCGTTCATGTATCAATGTAAAAATGTTTTTCCTGATATAACATGATCACATAACCAGTCACGCCTTTGTGGCTTCTAGTACATAATAAGCTGGTGGAGTTAAAGGGAATAGTTTGGTCTAGTGAGGCAGAGCAACATTGCAATATTACGTCTCCTCTTACAGCCAGCCCCACAACAGTTGCCTGCCAAGAGTTTATCCTCATGAGATATTGATTTACAGTAGGTGCTGCACCTTTCGATTTCTCTATTAGGGAAAATGGCTTGGCCACGCCTGCTTGTTTACAGCACTGGAGAGGCCTGAGGAGACAGAACAGCTATGACGTTTACTACAAGTTCCCTGAGCAGAGTGGAGAGAAACCTTATACAAAAGCAGCATAGACACAAAGCGCTATGCAAAAGGAACAAAACCCTGACATCATCTTACAAAGCTGAGGCCTGTAGAAGTGTAGCTAGGATAATAGTCTACTTGTTAATGACATGTATCACTACTTTGATGAGCAATTTAAGAGTAAATGGAGGGGGGCGGGGGTGATGTTGATTTAAGTGTATTCCTAACAGTTACAGCATTATAGCCTTTGTAGATTTGCTCTGACCTGGAAAAAGCCGGGTGGCATGGGTCCTCCTGGCATTCCCTCACCAGGGGGCATCCCTCCCATCACAGGACTGGGGGCTGCTGCTGCACTCTAAAAGACAAAAAAAAACCAATACAACCTTTACAAATGCTGCATGTGACACATTGACAATAGACAAAATGTGCACTCAGTACAGACAAGGAGCCTTAACAGACAGATTTAATATTGTGAGAGAAATACATTTGATCCCCTCATGACTGAGGTTCTCTGCACAGCTGGCCACAGGAGGAGAACATGTAAGGAACCACACATTATTATAGACAAGATAAGTGAAGTGACAGAACCTGTGCTGGCTGTTGATATGAACGGTTTCATGTACATTTTTAAGATCAGGGCTTCACGACCTTTGCAGCTCCAATAGCAAGAAGGGAGGAACTACAGATGACGCTGAGCAGGCGTACACAGGTCGAGCTCTTTGAATATTCTTTGTTCCGATTAAAGTTGAGGCAGTTCGATATAAGGTGTTTGGTTAGCAGATGAAAGACGAACAGGCAAACACAGAATTAAATAGAAAGATGGTCAAAGCCACAGCGAGTCTTTTGTAATGATGCTGCAGCTTCACAACTTTGGCCACATATTTGAATTGAATTCCATGGGGATGTGGTGTTAAAGGAAATAAAAACAGTGATCTTTGCGAAACACTGAAACCCCAACATTTCATTGAAACTGAGAAATATCATAGTTAATTGTAAAATTATATACCCAATTTTAAATTGATGCTGACAAGATGTTTTAAAAAGGTTACGAAAGTGGAAAAAACATACTTCCCAAAACCCCTTACAAAGAATTATTTAAAGAAATGGGGATGTAATAGAGTGATACAAATGACCCTGTCCCCCAACATTATTGAAATATGTAGCTGGCATCAAATTCATAACTGGCATATAATGTCCAAAAACGTGGGCGTCACTAGCCTTGCGGTGAATGTGCACGTGCCATGTACAAAGGCTTGAAAGCAGTTGACCTGGGTTAAAATCCGACCTTTTGCTCCAACCCTCTCTTCCCCTGGTTTCTGACTTAGACTATGATATTTCAAGTTTCAACAATATGTTGCCTTTCTACTAGTTTCAATAAAAATGTGCAGTTTCAATGTTATGCAAATAATCACAGTCTCGTTTTATTCACATTGCAAATAACGGTCAAATATTTTTAAAATTGTGAATGCCGTTAAATGTAATTTAATATCCATTCACAAGGCCTGAACTATTTGTTGGTCTCCAGTATGAAAGGGTTCTTAATAGAGGCGTCATAACCCTGCTGATCCAGGATCCAGCAGATCAGATGAATATCAGAGGGATTCACTGAGTCAGAGGCTCTAAAGTGCTGCTCCACAGCAGGAGCTTGCTGGGCCGATTTCCTGCTCAAACCGCAGCCTTAATTCACTAATGTGCCATTTGCTTCGGTCACACACCCCTAATTGACTTGAGTTTTTCTTCGCTGTAGCTGAGGCAATCTGAGACGGGCTAATGTGCTCAGGGCAGAGGGGTTTAGCTTCCAAAGAACAGCTTCACAACAAGAGAGGGTTCTTTAGTACTATGTGTATCTCACTCGCATTAAAATGTAGCTCTACACAAACTGGCTATGATTACAGCAACAATGGATGTATCAAACTTGCACGCACACTAACACACCTCATCTCTGTCCTGAGCTCTACCGACATCACTGCTCAATAGCCAACACACCTCTCTAGTATAGACTGCACCTCCCCTAATTATATCTGCACAGGCTGCCACTGCAGGGCCACTGTGAAATACCTCAGAAGGAAGAGAAGTGAGGCCACAGGGAAATGCCACGTCTCATCGGGCCTCATCACCACTGGGACACAGACAGCCTGAAATCACTATTTCTTGTCACGACTCACAAATGAGGCACCGTCATATATGGTCAACATCTGATGAACAATACAAACAATACACTGCTGTAAAAGCGAAGCAGCAATGTTCTGGACATGCCAGCTACACCAAAGACCAAATGTGATCTCTGTGTTCTCCCTCCCCCATACTGACCAGGTACTCTCAGCTATCCACCCACTCAAGTAGCAATGGTTGCTCTTGACAACTCTTTGTATAGATATTTTAACTAAGACTCAAAGTTAACAGAATTGACACATTTGAGATGCAAATATAACACTTGTATCCAGATGTAAAATGGGCCTCTGAATTATACAGCCTGTTTAGTGCATGTACACATGTCCAGGGAATCATGACACGTTATCCCACAAAGCTGTATGCAGTAAATGCCAAAGACAAAAAAAAAAAGAAACAGTGTCTATTTAGGTGGTAGTTTGTATTTTTCTCTTACATTAATTGATCACTCACCTTGTTTCTACAGTCAACACCAGAATTTTAGAAAAAAGAAAAACCAGAAAGACCAAAATATGCATCGCTTAGTAAAGTCTCCGAGTCTCGACGATAACTATAATCTCACGATACAGTCATTCTGGGATATTTAAGAAATAGTACCACACAGTATACAGTACACAGTATAGTGAAACATCTCAATATCTGATTAATTGAAGAATATAATTTCCCCATAAAAAGATAAATGGCTGTTTAGATTTATTTCTTGACTGCAATTTGTCATCAGATTCACCTCTTATTACGTCTCACACTTCAACGTCTTCTAAACAGTGTCATAAAACAATGTCAACACTCCACACCACTCTGAAGAGGTCAAAAACTGTGTGCCAGACTGAGAAGCAAAGCGCTCCCAAGCGTGTTATGTGAGATCTTCATCATGTTTCCTTAAAGCCCACAGCTGGACTGTCCCAAACCTCCTGATGCTGCTTTCGGACTAAACTAGCCTCGAGCCTCTCCGCTACAGGAAAAAAGGAGGCAGATGTCTCAGTCATGCCCCGGGCTATGAGGCTCTTGTCTGGGGCCTTCCTTACAACTCCCCAGGGGACATCCTATAAGACAGACAAGTATACCCCGCCTTCCCCCCAATGAGCACCATGATTCAGCGTGTATGTAGTATATGTGTGTACTTAAGAGCACAAGAAGAAACCCCAGCCAAACAGATTTTCCCTCAATTCTTGAATCACTGAAGGAGGTTACAGAAGGCCAGAGGGGCTGCGGATGTACTTGTGCTCTCCAAAAACAAAGACAGAGAGAGGGGAGCGAATGGGGGAGGGGGGAGGACAGAAGTAAAGGGGGAAGGAGAAAGAGTACAAAGAGAGACACACACAAGCAGTAAGGAGAAAAAAATGTGAGATTTAAAAGAAGATGAAGGAGAGATGACGTGGAGAAAGAGGTTTGGTTGTTTGTCTTCAACAGAACAGACCACCCAACTGCCATCTTCAACCCTAGTAGCTCTTAAAAGCCTTATTTCTTCCACTGGAACCAACGCTCAAAAGAAACCAGCCCCGATGTTTAGCTTGTAAATGTTTAACCATCAATCAACATCATAAAACCTGCTCGGGATCCTGACTGGATGCCCCGCCCCTTCCCCTCTCTCTCTCTGGTTACTTCTAGTAGATCCTTTCCCCCTTCTCATCTCCCTGAGCTCTTCCTCCCCCACCTCTGCACAATATTCCCTCAGCTCCTCCGTCGTGGTGGATGCCGGGCATATGCCACATTGCCACTCCCCCTTTCCTTTTTCCAATCTGCCGCTTCAGCTCTGTGACAGCCATCAATCAGCCGCTGACGCCATGGTGACGGTGCTCCCTGGGGAGCGATCATCAGGCCCAGCGTGAATACGCCAGGGCTTTATGAGCCCTGCTGGCTAACGGAGCAGCACTCACCTTCCCCCACACCTTTGGACAAAGGCTGGGGTCCATGGACCAGTACTGTCCACACACACACACATGCACACACACATTTACACAGTTGTCTGACCCCCGACAAAAACAAAAGATCACAAGGAGAACCAACGTCAGAGGGAAGGGCAACCGCAAGATGTCGGAGAGAGCAAACAACACTCAAACTCTCTGATGCTCGAGCAGCACAAAGTCAAGAAGACTGACGTTTGACTGTTCCTTCATTTGTTTAATGTTTTCCATGTTATGAAAATGATCCCAGTAGAACCACAGGATGCAATATAACAGCTTGTTTTAAGTGTTTAACCTTTTAATTAAAACAATTCATGGGAAACGATGAATGCTAAATCACACTGTAGAACCCTTCTTTTCTTAAAACATGGAGCATGTTTAAAGATTACAGTAATATGTTATCAACGTTTGGAGACCCTACCCTCCAAAAAGACGATCTGAAATCTGTGACACTATTCACTAGGAAAGTAAAAAATGCCACCAAAATAAGGGATCGCAAGAAATATGTTTATTGCGAGGGCAGAGCCAAGTTGAAGCCTCTCTCCTGGCTCCCAGGTCATCTGCCAGATCAGGAGGCCTGTTACCCTGACAACACTATCTGCCAACAGCAGGACCAACATCTCCATTTTAACCCCTTCCTTCGTGATACAATGCTAAACTACCTAAAAAATGAACTGAGTATCAGTCGCCTATGAGGACTCCTTAAATGCCTCTTGTCTGCTGTGCTGAATGGTATCCTTATTTTATATACATCAGCTGCATAATCAGCGTCTAATCTTAGGAAATAAAGGCAGGGGAACCAAATGGATGAGAACAGCTGGGGCCCATGATGAGCAGTTTACATTATATTTTCATTCTTTGATCTTTAAGAGGGTCTTTTTGATGTCCTTTATGAGGTCTGACTCATTGCAAGAAACAAAAGACACAATCTTTAAAATGGCATAATTATCGAGATGCAAAACACCCATTCCATGCAAATGTTGAAGAGTGCATGTAATGTGCTACTGAAGGATTCGCTTCTCCTGAACGACATTTCATAGAGATTGGATGGAAAGCTGTTTTCTTGTATGCTATCCTGCAGAGAGCCTCTGAAATCTTCCCGAGTTCCTGGCTCAAGACATGCACCTCACAGCGCGAGACTAGCCATGTTATATGGGAGGAGGGATCTCAGGAGGCTATGGAGGACTATTTTTGCCTTTGTCTCAATGATGTGTGCAGTTCAACACATTCACAATATCAACAAAAGAGCAGAGGACAAACTGGGGAACAGGAAACACAATAAAGCAGTTTCACCAGTCGCATGCATAAAGTCTATGGTCATGCGCCTGTTGCAGGATATAAGCGTCACCACCTCCCTCAGTGATTTTGGCTAACTATTTCCTGTTGCTCTCTCATCAGCTCACACCACCTTCAGGCGGGATATTTACTTGGGGTTTGGCAGGAACATTTCCGGGTAAAGTCTGTTTGAACATTAAGGATGTTTGTGATCACACATGCAGCTCACCCTGAAAAATTTCAGGAAGTTTTCAGGGGATCTTTTCAAGTGTGAAAGCAGCAAGTGTGAGACAGACTTTACAATTCTTAGGTTTCTCCCCCATTAGTGTCAATATACTTTCATTTAAAATGGAACAGTGAGTACTTGAGCTACCAAACATCTGCTCAGCTCCAGTTCTTTGTTATGAGACAAAATGTGTGAATAATGTGTCAGGAGCTGTACACAGCTTATTGCAGGCTGCTTATTTGACTGTCTTCAAGACGGAGCTAGGGAGCAGGAGCATGGCGTGGATAAGAGGGGGAGAACCACTCGACAGGTCTGGCTCAGGACATGCTGACATCAGCATCATTTTCCCACAAGCCTATGAAGCTTATTGTTGGGTGCATCTTACGGTGCACCACTGAGGCAAGACGACCAATTGTTAATGCAGGAGGAAAAAAAGCTCATCATTTGGTTAAGATTGTTAACACAGCTATATTTATACAACGGGAAAAGGCAAAAATCTGAAATAAATCGTTTTCCGTTGGATCAAGTTCATTCTTTAAGCTTAGAGGGAATCATAATAGCCTGAAGTATGGCAGCTGAATCACTCTTGAAGGGGCATGTAGAAGATTTTGTCAAGACTTGAGTGTTGACAAACAGAGATTATAGAGACTTTGCCCTGATAGCTCCCACAAATACATTCACACCACCAAGCTGGAGGCATGTTGTTTACACCCCCTCTAAGACTTGATGGCAAACTTGTTGCCTTGTTTAGCAGGAGATGGAGCAATTTGTGCAACAGTTTCCATGCAAGCACTGCTACTCACATAATCATGGAAGGCTTTCGCTTCGCTGGAGTGGTCACATGTCTCTCTCCTCTCTGGTGCAGCGCAGTACAAGTCCCAGAATACACTGTGGACGAGACAAGTCATGAAGCAAACAAAAACCACACAAACAACCTCTGGACATGTTTACGGGGAGGCGAGAGTTTTATTTCTTACCACCACCAGGAATGTAGGAATCCAGGGGGTTCTCCAAGTGTGATGTTTTTCTCCCATCGGATCTGTGAAAGCGGGATTTCTTTAATTATCCATGGGTTTCCATCAGATTTTTTTTTCTAAAGAAGCAATACGTCTACATGCAAATACATGGTCTGAATTAAAAAAGGACATTATAGTATGGTTTAACTTTTTTCACAAAATTCCACATACCTCTGATAAAAAGGTCTGTGCAGACTTCTGTGCTCCTATGTGCAACAAATACTCATAGACGTACAGGGCTAACCTGTTAGAAAATAAAAAGGGATTTAAAGGTTTTATTTGATTTACAAAAGACTGAACATGAAATTAAACTTTACACATGATGTTAAATCTTTTGAACGAGCAAAACTGAGTGCATGCATATCGTCAGATACAGGCCCTTTGAACAATGGCTGCCAAACAGCATCTGCCAAAATTAAATGGGGACACGGTTACCGAGCCCAAACCAGGTTAAGATCCACTACTATGAAAAAAGGTTGCAAGAAAGTGCTAAAGCAGCCAAAACATTTTACGTCGTGATGTGAAACGTAAAAAAAAAAAAAAAAAAAAAAGACCAACAGCCGAGAGTGTATTAGCTGATTAGCTGAGGTACAGTATCCCGGGGGCAGTGATGGGGCTGAGGGAAATAAAAACGCAGCCAATCCAGAGCGCAACAGAGAAAACAATGTAATGTGTGGCACGGCGATGTTATTGTTTTCTCCTCGCCGAGCTTCCGACTGAATATCTGCAAAAATACCAGGCAAACCCCGACGAAGCAGGTTCAAATCCCCCTCGAAAAATAGTCGGGGAAGGGTTACAAAAACAGCAATAAGCCAAAAGGTAGCAGAGGCACCGCTCAGGGGAGGAATGGCGAGCAGACAAGGCGGTTCATTCAATTCCATTCTCGCTAGGAGGAAATCGCCTCTTGCTAGTCTGTCCAGCGAACAACAGAGAGCAAGAAGGGAAACAACTTACGCGGAAAAAACACACAAAAAATAACCGTATCTGAGCTTACTTTTCTCGTGCTTGGCCGTCCGACGGCACCGGGGTGCCTTTGCCTTTGGGGAACATTGTTTTGTGTTAGGAGGACGCCCGCCTTCTCTTTCTTTTTCTCTCTATTTCATCTGTCAGATCATCGCGGCCGCGACCCTCTCGCACTCCAACCGCACTCCTCCTCAACCCGACGACTCAACCGAGCCTGGTCCGGAGGGAAGAGGCGGAGCCAGGCCTGACTGATGCTCACGATAACCAATGAGAGAGCGCCATTTCTGTTAAGGTCTTTTTTTTTTTTTAGTTCGCTGTTGTTTTGACGACGATAGCTTCAGTGTTACATGGAAACGTTTAATTTAATAAATACTTTTTTTCTGTTATTTTTGCGAGCCCTAATTCTTAAATATGCAATTCAATAAAATAATCTGCTAATAAACTTGTTTTTGTTCCTAAAATGACATTATTTTATAAAACAGCCTAAATGAATTACAGTAGGCCTATCTTAAACATTGTTACCAGGGCACCAGTTTGATAAAAGACTATAAGTATGGTTTTAATGAAAATGTTTTTGTCCTTTTGCCAACTGATTTAAGGCTCAGGGTAAAGTTTATATCCCCATTACTCTTTTTTAATTATTTAGCTACGATTACTGTAATTTTATTTGATACATTTTTTTTAGATAGATAACCCTTTCCCTGTAAGTGGACATTTCCATTTTTGGGGGGGTTTTGAGTGAATTCTCACCATTATGGGATCAAAAATCCAATTCGTAGATGTCAGACAAGTTGTAACCATAGACTGTAAAAAGAACAGTCAGAATGTTACAAAGTGTAATGGGGTTAATAAAGGTCGACATATCGTCCACATAAGAGATCATTGCTGATTGGGCATGAATACACTGATATATTTTACTAATTGATTGCATGTTAAATGTTTCTCTGAACAGTTCTAAATATACGGGTCGCTACAGTTCCACCTTAAAAATGTGGTCGTGCCCGTAACCACTACAGGGGAATGTCTCTCTCTCCCTCTCTCTCTCCCTCTCTCTCTCTCTCTCTCTCTCTCTCTCTCCTCTCTCTCTCTCTCCTCTCTCTCCCTCTCTCTCTCTCTCTCTCTCTCTCTCTCTCTCCCTCTCTCTCTCACACTCTCTCTCTCCCCCTCTCCCTCTCTCTCTCTCTCTCTCTCTCTCTCCCCTCTCTCTCTCTCTCCCCCCTCTCTCTCTCCCCTCTCTCCCCCCTCTCTCTCTCACTCCCCCTCTCTCTCCCCTCTCTCTCTCCCCCTCTCCCCCCTCTCTCTCCCCCTCTCTCCCCCCTCTCGCTCTCACTCTCTCTCTCCCCCCCCCTCTCTCTCTCTCCCTCCCCAGCTGCGAAACTCTTTGGTAAAGCTGTGGCGTGTATGCGCACGTGTGTGACTACTAATAAGTTGTGTTGTTGAGGGAAATGAAAAGAGCCACCGTCCGTCTTACTGGGCGCTGCTGTTCCTCAGCTGTTGCATTGCCGACGTCGATTGGCACTTGAAGGACTTGTCTCGACTTCACCGATATCAGGAACTTTTACACTCGGTGAGACATTTTTATTTTGTTTTTCACTTTCATTATAGGTTGTTTGTGTTCACGACATGCCTCGCAGAATATAAAGGAGGCTTTGATGGCACCAATACGTTAAGTTCCATGTTCGCTTTTCACGTCCAGTCACATTTCTCTTGAAGTGTCAATGTTAAAGGTCATTGCAGCCCCTGTCATCGACAACAGGAATGACAGGTGACCACACTGAGCCCCACTACGGGCAAACACTTCAATCCCAGCAGATTGTTTCCACGAATAGCATAGCAGCGTGCTTTAACAAATTGTGTCTGTTTCCTGAAATCATTTCTATTTCAGCTTGATTTAATCTGCACTGAAAGGACAAGTCCCAGCTGGCAAATACGAACATCATTGTTTGTCGAATAAGCTGTAATTGATTTTTAGCAACATTAAGTTGGTCACGTCATTATATGAATAAGCTATTCAGGTTTCTCTTGATCCTTGGAAAATGTTGAGCAATTTCTCAGACCACCAACTGACTGGCAGATTATTCAAAGCGTCTTATGTTGCAGAAATGTTCCAAATAGTGCCTTGACTGTGATTTCAAATTGTGCTGCAGACTACTTAACAACAAAATGCATATTTTACCTTGGACAAAAGTTTCATTGTACAGATGTTACTCTTCGTGTTGTCCATCACTTATAACAAGTACATCAATGAAATGCAGTCATTCAAATGAACTCCTGATTTTTTACAATGCTCTCATGAATCCACATATTTAAAAACACATAAATAAATAAACTAATAAGTGACATTATAGGTTTTACTGTACGTTTTTCTGATGTTGCAACCATTCTTGTTTTTCTAATACAAGTTATACTTGTAATTATAATATCTGTGCCTTGGTATTTGAGTCTCCATTAAATTCAGTTGTAACAGATTTCCTGTTTTGGTTTTTTCGTCCATGTAGGTTGGAATTATGACGTCAGAGGGTATTTATGCAGACACCACACAGGACACTCTGCTCATTCAGGAGAATGAGGAAACATACAGAAACCCCACTGAAGTCAAGATGAGTCAGATTGTGCTGCCATGTCACGCAAACCACTGTGGAGAGCTGAGTGTGGGGCAGCTGCTGAAGTGGATGGACTCCACAGCCTGCTTGTCTGGTAGGAGAGAGTCAAAGAAACATCTCATACATTATAACTGTTGTATTGATGCTCACCAGAAGCCACGACTATCCAATAATGTCCACTTAAAGCTCATAGCAGAAATAAGTGGACATGCAGTAAAACTTATATTCAGACTATTTCAAAACTATAACTGTGATGTGCACAATGCTCTTTGTTTTGTGATGGACATTGCAGCAAGCGTCTTAATACCTTTCCTGCGCTCCCATGTGTGAGTATAGAAACACATTTACACACCCTCAAAAAGATGTTCTTAACTTGTTTTATACTCAGCTATGATAGTCTTATCGACTTCACAGCTTTTTAATCATAAAGAGTCGGCATTATGGATAGTATCTGCAAGGGTTTTTAATATTTATGACATGAATTAAGGAAAAAATAATCTTGCAAAAATGGTCTGAGTTTACAAGTCCAAAACTGCCATGTGCCAAGAGGTCCTGCGCATTTATTTGCAATTATCAAATCAGAGAATATTTTAGAGCTTGTTAGCGCTGCGTAGATGATGTTAAATGACCTGTGATGGTTTGCACATGTATAATGTCTCCTGGATGCTTAACATATAGACATTAATGTACTCTGATGCTGTGTAGAGAAATATGATTCACTCAATAGGAAGACTCACTGATATGGATTATTCCAGTGTACCTCTACAGATGAGCACATTTACAGCTCATAATGTCTCACATTGCGTGATGCTTTGTGACTTTCTGTTGCACTTCTAAATTATGTGTGTATCCTCTCCTCTCCCAGCTGAGAGACATGCTGGTTGTTCCTGTATCACTGCATCTGTGGATGACATCCATTTTGAACACACCATAGGGTAAGGCATTAACCTTAATGTTTCTCCATCAAGGTGTTCCTCCAGCTGACTGGAACAGTCGGATCATACTGTTTCTTTGACTTTGAGGATGGGATAGGTCATATTCAGTTCATATTCAATAAAAGCTGGAATAGAAATCCTTTTTGTTCTGCTTTCTGTTATGATCAACTTGAGTTAGTATTAAAAAAACATGCAATCAAATGATCAAAACATGTGAACGCCTTAGATAAATGTGTTAATGTATAAAGGATTCTTGTAGTCTAACTCTTAAAGCTACCTAGCTCACATTTCTCACCCGTTAAAAACAGTGACATGTGAAGATTGGAGAACAAACACGTTTTGAGCCTGATGTTGACACTAAATGGACCTTATGTGTCATCATAGAGAGGTTCAGATTGTGTTGACAATGTAATCACGGCTTCATATTGATAGTAAAGAGAAGCTTCTGTGTGTGTCCACTTCAGGGTGGGGAAGGTGGTCAATATCATAGCAAAGGTCAACAGAGCCTTCACATCAAGTATGGAGGTTAGTGGACTTTATTTCTATGTCAGCAGAGTGACCAGACATTGTATTCAAGAAAAACCAAATAACTGTGTGTGTCTGTTCATTTCAGGTGGGAATATTAGTGACTTGTGAGGACCTGTACACTGCCAGGCTGTGGAAGGTTTGTCATGCCTTTGCTACCTTCGTCGCAAGAAGAACTGAAGCAGGGAAGGTAAGGGATAGAAACAAAAAACAGTGACCCAAATATTTCACTAAAACTGATTTAACATCCTCTGTGTTTGTGTATGTGTTGTTCGTGCAGGTTCAGCTGAAACAGGTGACTCCTCGCACACAAATGGAGCAGATGGAGTACAGCCTGGCAGCAGAGCGGAGGAGGATGAGGCTCATCCACGCTGAGATCATTACAGACCTGCTGAGCAGCAGCACAGCTCAGCTGGGTACAGACTGGAGACACCATGCTTTGTAACACAGCACTTTGCCAAACTTCTGCACCGCTAAAGCTCTTTTTCTTTCTTGCTCTCAACAGGAGAATGCCAGGAGTTTCAGGAAGCTGTGCCAGCCGAGCGGACACGAGTGGAAAGTGTGGAGCTGGTGCTCCCGCCGCATGCCAACCACCAAGTCAGCACCTTTGGGGGCCAGATCATGGCCTGGATGGAGAACGTGGCAACAATTGCAGCAAGGTATATTCTTAGTGTTTTTCCTTTGTTCTCACGCAAGCGGGAAGAAGTAGCCTGGCATCAAAAATACTTCTTAAGTCAAGGATTGTGGATTTGTGGGCAGGTATGTGAAGCGATATTTTTTGGCCAAGCACAATCGCTTCTTAAAAAAAACCATCAGAGAATCCAGAAACTGCACCAGGTAAAGAAATAGTGCCACACTTAACCCTGTGTACAACCAATTTGTCGAGATGAAACAAACAAGACAACAATGGTAATCAGTGAGCTACAAAGATACTGGTAGATGATAATCGTTACCTTTGAACAGAGCTAGGCGTTAGCTCATGTAGAGTCTCATTCATATTCTTATTACTATAGGCAGAATAACAAATCAACTGAATTTCTTTGTAACTGCTAGCTTGTCCAAACTCTGTGTGATCAACTTGAGGTTTAAAACACTCTAGACTTACTGCAAACAATTTTTTTTCCCCCATCTTCAGTCGCTTGTGTAATGCTCATCCAAGACTGAGGTCCATAGACATGTTCCATTTTCGCGGCCCGTCTCATATTGGTGACCGATTGGTACTTAAGGCCATTGTTAACAATGCCTTCAAACACAGGTGAGTCTACACATAACGACTAAATAACTCTTATCTCATCTCATGATTGTGTCCATTTACTACTTCAACAGATATCTACAGCCTAGGCGTGCATATTCTGTACATTTGTGTGTATGCATATGTTTTGGTGAGCCTACATTCTTACATACATGGTGTGCTCCAGCATGGAGGTGGGAGTGTGTGCTGAGGCCTACCAGGGTGGGGAACCTCTACGCCATATAAATAGTGCTTTTATGACCTTTGAGGTGCTGGACAGTGACAGGAAGCCAAGCACTCTGCCACGGATACGACCTGAGCCTGTGGTGAGTTTTCTGATTGTCCTGCTGCTTTAGAGTCTTCAGTTAACAGTACACTTTACAAAGCAGGGATCTTTTTTCTGAAGATAATATTATTGTTGTTGTTTTTTTAACAGGATGGAAAAAGACGTTATCAAGAAGCTATTGCAAGAAAGAAGATTCGGCTTGATAGGTAAGTGTCTCCCATCAAACCAGCAGGTTTAGTTCATGTGCAGCTTAAATATAAATGATAGAGCTCCCATGGTTCATTTCAGATTTAAATTTTGTTTGCAATGCTGGTATTGGTCCATAGGCAAAAAAAGCTCTCAAAGGACTCTCAACATTGTCATCCTCTAGAAGTTCCTATTTGTCACAACAAAAAGTTTGTTTTAACCTAAAAGCATACTGGTTTAAATTGTATTACAGATGTTTGGAACGTTATTGTTAATTTCTGAATGTTATTGTTATTTATCACTACATTCGTAGTGGTTAGAATTCCAAGCTAACCGTCAAAAATGTAATTTTCTTTTAACGTAATAAATAGTATTCAATGTATGATATACAATTCTGCACATACAGTCAGTACAATTGTAGTTGTCAACAGTGATCATTTGAACTAGTAGGAATCAAGTTGACATTGTGAACAAAAACTGACATAAAAACAAAAACTAAAATTTCAAAAATATTTTTGTTAACTGAAACTGAAATAAAAACGAGGCATTACCAAAATATGAGAACTTACTGAAACGGTATCGTGTGTTTACCAAACTAACTAAGATAAAATAAAATGATAGAGAAAATGTCCTTAGTTCTCGTCCTTGACACAAACACACTCAGTGACACACACAGTTTTACTCACACAATGTTTTACAGGATATTTTCTGAAGAAGTTCCCTGATAATTTTCTCTGAGCCTTTTACAGTACAGAGACAAAAAACAACTAAAAGTAACTCTAACACTAATAAAAAAACTTCACCAAAAGTAACATAAAAACTAAACTAATTAACCAGCATTACAAACTAATTAAAACTCAACTAAGTTTGAAAACAAAAAGTCAAAATGAAATAAAGACGAACAAAAAATCCCAAACTATTATAACAACTATTATAAGACTTGAATTGCACATATTTGGCATTTAAAAAAGTGAAAATTAAATTAGATTACAGAAGAAGATATACTTTATTTATCCTGCAAGGGGAAATTCAGTTCTACATTCTGTTAATTGAGACATGCTTCACACACAGGCTGAAATACACAAACATTCACAAACAAGATCCTATGGCACTAATGGAGACATGTCAGGGTGCCCACACGGAGCGCTCCTGAGCTGGTGGGGGGGTTTCAGTGCCTTGCTCAGGCGCACCTCGGCAGTGCTCTTAATTGTATTGACCAAACAATACAATTACATACAAACATACAACCTCAAATCTTGAATGAAAAGGAGCAGAAAGAAGAGTCATCTTATATAATCTTTCACAAAACATTAATTAACAAAACACATCATTCAACATTACTGAGTTTGAATAGAAGTTAATGCACCCTAGTGCTAATGAAGTTACAGATTTGTACAATGAAAATGTAACCGTAAAGAGATTTATTGATGCTATCCAGAATTAAAACTGTGACTACTTAAAAATCAATTAAAGAAATGCTCATTTAGAATAGTTACTAGTTCAAATGATAAAATGGATATGTTGGCTGAACATGGCTCGGAATTGTAATGATTCAAAAGGCAACTATTAATACTAAAAACTGCTTTTTTAATTACTGATTTCATGTTGAAAGTTTCTGCCACGTAATACAAATATTCAAAATACTGTAATAATGATAGAACCTAACACCACCATAGAAGGACGTTGGTATACACATTACAAAAACATCAAATATATTTAAAAAAAATACAGTGTAGTATGTGATGCAGTATAGACCACTGTTTCTTAAGTATTACAGAACAGTTCCTTCATTGCTGTGTTTGTCCAGAATCCATTGTTTACAATCCTGATCCACATGACTTGGCAGTGCAGCATGTCACAGCTGAGCAGACTTTGGTGCTCAGTTTGTCACACATAATAAGTTCATTGTTCCACTGTAAAATACAGGCCTCAAGTCGAATGTTCAGTCAATAGTTTGATTACCAAATGTGTTTTTTCTGCAATGAAAAAGTTCATGTTGGTCAGGTTTTGAAGATCTGAATGTCAATCACTGTCCTCTTCATGTTTACAGAAAATACATCATCTCCTGCAAGCAAACCGAAGTGCCTCTGTCTGTGCCCTGGGATCCAAGTAACCAGGTTTGCTTTTTTTTTTTTTCTGGCCAACAGAGGCTTCAATGTTTTTGTAGGCTTATAAGATATTGCCACTGTGTTCAAGAGTTCAGGAGAGCCCTTTGTTTTCAGATGTACCTGAGCTACAATAATGTATCTGCACTGAAACTAATGGATACCAGGAACAACTGGGTTTTAACTTCTGAGAAAAACAAGGTCAGTGTTGTTTGTAATATCTTTCAGGATATAACTTGTTAACTTGTCACAGCTGTTGTGATTCAGCCCTGCATTCTGATCGGTATTATTTTGGAGAGGCTGCACAGTCACTGTGGCTGACCTGGAAACAGGCCCATTTTGCTTGGATTAAATTGAGGAATATTGCAGGAAGGCGCAGCAAAAAACTGAAAGTTTAGACATACTTCTGGTCTACTACTGTCCATGGGTCATTTTATAAATTCATACATGTTCTCCTGAAATAAGTCATCCTCAAAATGTACAAATTTACCAGATGTTTATGTAGCCACTATTCAATAGTCAGACTCTATTTATGTGGGTACATTTCAATACCTTTTACAAGTTCCTGTTATACACATATAGCCCACCCACTCTCTGTGAATCTTTTGCATGTTTTAGGTGAGATTGTACACACTGGAGGAGAACCACATGCTGTGTTTTAAGGTGGAGATGCACGTCGGCGTACCAGCAGAGCAGACTTTCCTCCTACTGTCGGACCTGAGGAGGAGAAAAGAGTGGGATCGGCATTATGAGTCAGTAACTTGCACATGTTGGGCTAAATAATAAGGCTGTCGTAACTAATATTATCAAAGAAATGTTAGACACCAGGCGATTCCTGCTTGATTTTTATGACAGCACATATGAAATGCTCAAACTCTGATGCCACAATGGTCATGTTGGCTGGTGATGACAATTCAGAGAGCTGAAACATACATCAGAGCGATAGGTTGGTTACATGTTTCTATCTCTATGTTAACACGTGCTCTTTGCTTTGTGGCTGTTGCAGGGAGTGTGAGGTGATCAACCATGCGGATGAAGAAGACACACTTTATCGTGTAGCTACACCGTCCATAAGTAAAGGGGGCAAAGGCCAGGACTTTATCTTGCTGGCATCGAGGAGGAAACCATGTGATTTCAGGTGTTGTAGCATACTACATAATAAACACTTAGGGCTGAACTTAACATTTCATGTTTTGTTTGTCTCTTCACTGCTTTTCTTCTTCTTTTTCATGATCATATATTTCTGGATATTCTGACTCTTATATATTTATGGATTTTATATATTTATGCAACCGTTGATTAAGTTATTGTGTTACTGCCTTCTGTTTTCATGATGCTTTGCTGTTTTGTCCCTCTCAGGGACCCATTTCTTATTGCTCTGCGGTCTGTTACTTTGCCCACTCACCCTCCCACTGAGGACTACACCAGGGGGGAGGTGCTCTGTGCTGGCTTCACAATCTGGGAAGAGTCCAGTACTGTCACCAAGGTTGGCCAAATGTTTAACAAACACCTGCTATAAGCACATTTCTGCACCCCTTACGATTAACAACTGCAAAACTAAGTCATAACAAGATGCAGTTATTTACTGCAGCACTTGTGACCTGATGTTTTAACTTTATTCAGATCACGTACTACAACAAGGCCACACCAGGCGTCCTCCCCTACATCTCCACAGACATTGTCGGCCTCTCCTCCAGCTTCTACAGTGCCTTCTCTGCCTGCAGCCACTTCCTAGAGGACAACAGGGACCGCCTGGTGGTTGCTCCATCCTCTGCACTGTTACATGACTGTGCTGCTAAGCTCTCTTTAAACGAGGAGCACAAGCATCAGTAGGAGGGATTAACTTCTCCTCTGTAGTGGAGTTGCTTTTTGAAGAAGCCACGGATGAATGTGAGTGTGCCACTGCAATGTATTTGTATTCTTTTTAAGTCTGTAAATCTCAGCCCTCCCTGTATGTTTTCTATTCAAATAAATGAGAGATTTCTTTCTGAGACAGGCTTTAGAAATACACTGTGAAGGTTTTTAAAAAAAAGAAATTCACATTTCTAGCGAGATTAATATGTACAGAGTAAAAGTGCACAGTGTTTTCTTAGATTTTAAACCTCTGTAGTGTTATCAGAGAAAAGATATTGTGCAAAATCTTCTTTATTATACTCATTTACAAATCACTGAATCATACTTTGGTACAAAGATGTAGCAAGTATTAAACACAGTGTTAACATTGCGTTCACTTGACACAGCCATGTTTTTATTGTCTTTACATAAACTAATAAGACGATGACACGAGTTTATTCTGAGATATTTGAATCAGCCTCTTTTGATAAGCTTAGTGTATTTCTACCTCTTGAATAAGGTTTATATTAAATTAAATTATAAGTTACCTTTGATGTATATTTAGGATGTTATGATGTCGTTGTATTTTGAGATAATAAAAGTATGTTTTAAAGGAGAACTCATGCACTGATTGTTGTAAGCACACATTAAATGGCCAAGTATTGCACATAATAAGCTGTTTTTTTTTCCTTGAATGAACTGAAACAATAAACACAACAGACCAGCAGATTAAGCTCATGTCAGCTGTTGTGTTGGTGTTCACCTCCCTCACCCTGCATTCCTCTCATTCCTAACACTGTTTTTATGAAGGAGACTGTATAAAACTGTAGCTTGTGATTTTTTGGTGTTGTGACATGTGCACTAGCCAGCAGAGGGGCACAATGGAGTGAAACAGTGAGCCTCTGACTGTGGGTGTAACAGAGGTGGTAGCTTTGCTTTCCAGGTATTGTGCTTGTTCCAGGATGATCCTGTTATGTGAACGCTGCTTCCTGGACCGGACAACATAAGGGAATGCATCTGTAACCAAAAATGAAATGCGTGTCGGACACAAAGCAGTCAGTAATCCTGTGAAATAAATCCTGTCCAAAGTATCCCTGGATGAGAGGATCATGTGTCTTGGCTGGCAGCTTCCTGCAAACTGCCAGTTCCCACTGTTCTGCATGCGACTGAACAGCGTCTGATGTGTACTATTTTGGTGTATGGACTCAAGTCTGTGAGGCAAGCTGCCCAAAATCGGTGCCCACTCCTAAACCATCCTCCTCATCCTCTGATTCAGAAATGCTGCATGCTTCTCCTCCGCACCTGGCACCCTGCACCCTGCACCTGTACCTGCCATGACGTCTCCCTGGCCCTTAACACTTTAGAACTGCCATTACTTTTGTCCATCTTCATTTGCTCTTAAACTCTTACCTGTTGCCTGTTTGGATTCTAGTCTTTTTTTATTTTTTTTTTATCATAACCAGAACTGAAGAAAAAAACTCAACTCACAAATATTTGGGATTGGATAATTATGATAAAATCATGTGGTTGAAGTTGTTAAAATATTTTTGTTGTTCTGGCACAACTAGAAGTTGCTTTCATATATTTTGCTCTTCTTGTTACAATTCACATCTGATAATAATGAACATGATGTCAATGTTGAAAAAAAGAATATTCTTTATAATCTATTATAGACTATAAGATAAGTATGTCATGTGCGAAGATTTACTTTGTCTGAATTCTTATTGCAGTTTTTTTTTTCGACCCTTCTCTCCTCCAGGAAAGCATTGTTATTGTGTCCCGATGATTGTACCTTTCACTTGAACGCCACTCAGAGGAAAAAACAACTAATCACGTGATTGAACCCGGAAGTAAGAGTCTGAAGAAGAAGGGTTTGCTGCGTGTGACCGTTCACCCCACAGTGAAGTGTTTTATTTTAAAAGTCATTTGCGGCGTCAACATGACCAGGAGGAATGTAGCACAAAATTACGACTCGCAACAAGAGAAAAACTCACAAAGTTTAGCTGTCTGCGCGGTGAGTGTTACATTGTTTGGTGTCTTTCATGCAGTTCAGTTAAATCCTGGAGCCTGTATGATCCATAGACTGTAAAAAAAAAAATAACATAACCAGCTGGTCGTTGTGTGGCTGCAGGTCGGGAGGTTCAGCCTGGGGAGTTCTGGGATGTGGTGGTTGTGACCGCTGTGGATGAGAGCCAGAGAGAAGCTTATGAGCTGCAGATCTCAGAGAAAGTGAGCAGAAAAGAGCTTCCCCTTGGTGTTCACTACAAGGTCTTCTCTGATCCTCCTGGATCTAAAATAGGTGAGCATTTTAATTCCACTGCCCCCTGTTTGATTTTTAGGGGATTACAAAAACAATGCATGATGATTTCTTACATGACCCTGTGTTTTGAAGGTAATGGAGGGTCCACTCTGTACTCTCTGCAGCAGCTGAGTGACTTGTATGGGAAGGCTGTGGGCACACTGAGAGTCATACTGATCCATGCAGGTTTGAGATTTCTTTTGGTTTAACTGCTCATCTTCAATTACAATTCAATTATTTCCATGATTGAATGTTGTTCTGAATATCTAATAATCACAAAGACCTTTATAAGGCTGGTGATTAACTTTATTATAGAATATTGAAGACAGTGTGAGCTGACCAAGGTGCTTCACCAAAATGAGCAAATCAAAAAGTGTTAAAAAATAATAATAATCCAGAGAAAAATGCTTATTGGACACACATATCAGGACAAAAACAACGAATAAAGCAACACCTGTCTGTGTGGTACCAGCTGCAAAATACCACTACCTCTTTTTTTTGTTAAGTAGAAACTGAAAAGGATCAAAAATTGTGTCAGAAATGATGGTCAGTGGATGTCTTTGATTAATTGATAAAAACCTTTCTTCCCCTGAGTTACTTTGCTGTGATGTCCTCCATAAGGATAAATAAAGGAGTGCAGAAAAGGAGCTTGCATGATTATTTACTCAAAAAGGAATTAAAAATCTATTAACGCATGTGAATTGTTTAAGCCCCTTGCCAAAATTAGACACTAAATCCCCTCATAATGTAAGTAACCTTTAACATAATGTTACAGCAAGCCTCAATCACCACAAAGGGACTTCTCACGCAGTCCAAATGACAACACGTCACGCAGTAACTGCACACACTCCCTACAAGCGGTATGCTTATCCACTTCTTTCTACAACAGGGAATTATCCTCCAATTAACCCTGGCAGATTTTTTCTTTAAATCGCAAAAAATCTGTAATGTTTATGTGGTTAAAATGTTTTCCAACATTTTTCTAATTTGAGCTTCTTGGGATTTCCCAACAAAGTGTCTACATCTGACTTTTCATTTTGCTGTTACAAATAGAAAGTTAACTAAATATTTTTCTTTGCCAATTTATTCTAAAGTTAAGTTAAGATGTTAATGGCAAGTTCTCCAATATCTTTTTTTTTTTTTTTTTTTTTTAACACCTCTTGTATTCAACAATGTGCATTCTTCCAGGCGGGTGGAGTCAGCGTTTGCCCAGTGCCAGCGCCCTGGGGAAGATCTTCACCGCCCTTCCGCTGGGTGACCCTCTCTACCAGATGCTGGAGCTCAAACTGACCATGTATGTGGATTTCCCTCTTCACATGAAGCCTGGTGTGCTGGTGACCTGTGCAGACGACATAGAGCTCTACAGTATTTCAGAGGACGAGAGCGTTAGGTTTGACAAACCTGGCTTTACAGCTTTAGCCCACCCCTCCCCTCTGTCTATCGGCACTACACATGGAGTGTTTGTGTTGCATTCACATGAAACGTCTTGTAAAAACACCGAAATGGAGAACGTCTCTTGTCGCCGCTTCCTGCACAAGCCGAGCGTCCAGAAGATGAGAGACAGTGGAGCTGTTTGTGAAAGGCGGAGCGGTTGTTCTCTTTCGGACACAGAGTTTGTCTACACAGACAGCACATATTATGTCGACTTTGACACCGCAAAGTCTCTTCTTAATTTGCTGAAGGAGCTGGGGCCTTTGGAGTGTGAGATAGATGCATACGGGGACTTTCTCCAAGCACTGGGCCCTGAAGCCACCATAGATTACACCAACAACACTGCAAATGTTAGCAAAGAGGAGAGCAGTCTGGTGGAAATCCGTCAAAAGATCTTCCATCATCTGAAAGGGACTCCTTTGAATGTCATTCTACTGAACAACTCCAAGTTTTATCACATTGGAACCACATCTGAATACCTCTTTCACCTCACAGAGGATGTGGCGCTGAGGAGGGAGCTGGGTCTGCTAACGTCTGCTTTCAGCGTACACCTGAATCAGAACTCTGAGAGCTGCTCAGGAGGCTGCGTCATGTACAGCTTGCTCGACAACGGCTGTTCTGTGGGAGCTGGGTCAGTGGTGGAGTACTCCAGACTAGGTGCAGAAGTTTCTGTAGGTAAGGGCTCTATTGTCAGCAGCTGCCGGGTCAGTCCAGGCCTCTCAGTACCTGCTGGAGTCTTCATGCACTCACTGTGTGTTAATTATAAGAATCAAAGTAAATTTGTGACTGTCTTCTTTGGGATAAATGATGACTTGAAGCACAGCGTGGGAGCTCCTGCATACATGGAGGAGCTGAAACTTTGTGGTTTCAGCCTGATGAAGTGTTTGTCTCGCTGGGGGCTGAAGAGTGAAGCCCTCAGGTTCTCTGGGGATCCATCCAGCTGTAGTCTGTGGAACGCTTGTTTGTTTCCTGTTTGCTCAGATCAACAAAGATCATTCTTGATGTCTGTGGAGATGCTACAAGCTGTCCTGAGCAGCTCCAAGTTCAACTTACCCAGAGACACAAAGCTCATGTCCATGCAAGAGTCTTTACTGTGTAAGAACCTTCAAGAGATGCTGGAGCTCAGGAAGGGACTTAATGATGACATCACACAGAGAAAATCAAATGATTGATGTTAGTATTCTTAATATGGATTATGGGAGAGTTTTTGTTGTTGTTTGTTTAAAAGACCTCATTAATAAGGCTGTAAATCACTGATATATTATATATATTGTATGTTCATTCAGTGATCACATGGTTTCCTTTGTTTGGTCTGAAAAGCCAGTATGATTACATTCAGAGACAATAAAGATAGCTATATAAGCAATCACAGAATCTTGCTACAAATTCAGAGCCACAAATCAAAGAATGAGAAAAGAATGAAAGAGAGAGAGAAATATTCAACATGCATAACATTGTTCAGTTCTTATAACATTACAAAGTCTGATACAGACACCAACATTAGAGAGTCAAAATTGAGCTTTAACTCACATTTGAATGTCTATATGCTGTTCTTCATGTTTTACACAATAGCCATGTTTGCAACATGTCCCTCCTGAATCCAAAGCAGATGCAAATGGATTTATCTTCACCACTAAATTGGCATTCATTTCACTGAGAGCAGCTGATCGTAAGCCTGCAGGTTTTATTTCACTGCGTCGTAATGGTGTAAAAACAATGGCTAAAATTTAAACATGCTGAGTGAGAAAGTATTGATTGTGTGCAGGAAATAGTTGTTCTGATTTATTTATGTTTATATATATATTATTTTTATATTTCATATTTCATATTTTCAAATGTTGAAATTGTAAATTTTCATCAAAATCAAACTGTTTTTGTTCCTTTCAGCTGTCACTTTAATTGCAATAATTAGCAGGTATGGTTTGGGAACTACTGTATTATCCATATTAGAAAAATAAAATAATCCCAATTGAAATCCTCAACAAAACACTGACCATCTAGTTTGTTT